TGGGTCTCCTGGGTACCTGCCTGCCTTGGGCCAGTGGAGAGGGAGAAGCCAGGCCAGAGTTCCTGGGTGACTCGGCCCATAGTGTGGCTGACTCATGTTGAGATGTTCCACTGAGAACCAAAGAAGGGCCTGTCACTCAGCTACAAATTTACATGCACGGTGGGGTCAACACTGTCACACTAAGATCTAAACATGGGGGGACACATGGCTTTCTTTAGTCCTTTCTAATGTTCCTCCTTCGAAAGCACCCAGCCCTAGGACAGAAGAACACTTATCTTCCAGCTCCTGAGAAGTAGGCTCGTTTCTTCCTCTTTCAGAACTTTGATCAATCCCTTTGTTAACTTTTCTTTGCTGTGTCAAAACACCTGAGGTTTTCAACTTAGGAAGAGGAAGGGTTTCTTTGGGCTCATGGGTTCAGAAGTTTCAGAACATGATCACATGGCCTTCCACTGGGGGCTTAAGGGAGGCAGAAGATCCTGATGGGGAGTGTGACAGACAGAGCCGCTCATGTCAAGGTTACTAGAGGGAAGCAATTGAGAAAGACAGACACAGAGACAGTCAAACCGACCAGGTCCCAAATCTTCAAGGACATGCTCCTTCCTGACAACCCAACTTGGTACTCTTAGGCTCTGCCCCCAACCCAAAAGGTTCTATCAGTTTACCAAGCACGAGAGGCCAGACAATGAGCCTCCAGTACAGGAGCTTTCAAAGGACATTGGCAGTGCAAACTACAGCGACCCCTGACTCCTGCTGGGGCAAGTGTAACAAAGCACCGCAGAGTAGAGCTAGTGTGAGTGAGTTTTTCTCAGGTAGCTCTGGAAACTGACAACTCCAAGATCAAGATTGCCAGCCAACCTGATCACCACCCTGCCAACAGTTGTGTCCTCACCTGGAGGAGATGAAAGGGAAGATGAAGGAGGAGAGGGAGGGGCAGGAGGAAGAGGAGGGTAAGGTAGTTAGCTCTCTGCTGCCTTTCCCACAGGTCACTAATGCCATCTCAAGGACCCTACCCCCTGACCTCACCTAACTGATCACTTCTGAAGATACTCCTCCAAAAGCTATCATATGGGGGATCAAAATCCCATCCTGCGAATGGGGTTGGAATAATTGGTCTCTATGGTACACTCCTTGCTCCCACGTTAGGGAACTGTGTATGGTACAGAACACATCTGCCCATGGCTTCTGTCCTTGAGATGGAGGACATGGGCCTGTGGTTCATCCTTGCTGCAACATCCACGATACAGGTCTGTCCTTCCCTCCTGCAGGCCTGCATCCCTGGGCTCCCTCTGAAACATGGCAATGCCCAAGTAAACTGACGACAATCCTGCTCTTGTGCCATGGCCTCAGGTGATCCCTAGTGTCTACTAGGCTCATGGCTGGGAGCTAGCCTCCTCATTCTTGCTCACTGCCCAAGCATGTTGAGTCTCCGTGTGGCCTCCCAGGGGCCTCTGAGGGTGGGAACCTGTCCCTCTCACAAGCACAGGCAGTGGGGGCATCTAAATGCACTCTGCTTTTCCTTGTTGGCCGTGGGAGCTGCTTTATACTCACCCCATCCCCACCCCACCCCCACCTTCTCTGAAGACTTTGGCTCTGAGGTTGCTTTCCCTCCCCTGCCCCTTCCTGCTACAGCAGGACCTTCCAGGGCCTCTACTCTGCCTAACTGTGATTCTCAGCAGAAGCTTGTGAGCCATAATGACCTGGCCTTGCTCGTCACAGATAAAGAATTAAAAAATAAAGAAAACAAACCCCTCTCTTCCTTAAGTAAAAGATCTGGGTTTTAAAGCTGTTGTCTCAGCCCAGACTGAGAAAGAAAATCTAGTTTGGGCCTCAAAGTTGAGGCATCAATGCCTGTGGTTTAGGGGGGTCCACCCACTTCTCAGACCTCATGCAGAACCACGGGGCAATACTGTTTGCCAACTATGAAAAATACAGTTTGGGTTTTCGTAAACACCATTCCATCGTGTGTGTGGAAATCAGATCCTCGCAAGAGCTCTGCAAGACACACTTCTGCTCTGATGTTATGAAGGAGGCAGTGGGTGGTGGGTGTGGACAGTGGGCGTCGGGCTAGGTCGCCCAGCCCTTGGGCTCTACTTTCTGAGCTTCAGGTGCTAAGGTGGGTACTTGGGTATTTATTAGATGGTCCTCAGGGGCCAATGCCATGCTACCCAGACAGACAGGACACTCAGGGGACTCAAGACAAAGAGCACAGCACAGAGTCCTGATGCTGTGACAACCATGTTCCCACACTTCTGATTGTGTCACTTCTTCCCCAAAGGAGAGGAGGACAAGAGAACAGAAGCCAACTTATAATCACATTGTCTGTCTGTGCAGAGGTTCCTGGCAGAGCCTGTGTGTTGGGATCAAAGGTGGCATTGGTTGGGGACCAGTGAGCTTGTTAGCTCTGTGCTCTGATTGGTGCCATCTTTTTAAACAACTGTGGTGACAGCAGCAGCCACTGGACTGTGCCTCGCAAGCCCTGTGTCCCTCTTCACCCCATCCATCACTATGATGATTTCATTTTTCTTGTTATGCTCAGATTCCCCAGGCATCTTCCTGCTGTTTAGAGGGAGCAATTACAGTTGCCCTGGGAAGAAAACCTGAAAATTGGGGTGCAGCTTAGCCATGTCTGCTTTTCCATCAAGGGCCTCATGGGCAACCTCTGGGCCAGTCTGCAAACAGACAGCATGTGTGGCTCCACCAATTTTCTTCTTTCAGCAAGTGTCTGCTGGCCATGCTCTGCTCTGCTCTGCTTTGCTCTGCTCTGGGGCTGGGGAGAGGGACATTCAAGGAGGGGAAGTACAGACTGTGGCAAAGGTCAGTAGCAGAGTTAAAGCAGGCTTTCTCGGACCACCAGCCCCCCTAATCATGACACTTATTAGTTATGAATGTTCGACCTTATCTTATGTTTGTCCCACTAGCTCTTATAACTTAATTTAACCTGTTTCTCTTTATCTGTGTTTTGCCTCAGGGCTTTTTACCTTTCTTTCATTCTGTATCCATGCTTTCCTGTTTCCTCCATGTCCGGCTGGCTGGCT